AGACAGGGAACTCTAGGCAGTGGGCTCATAAAAGGTTTAGACCTTCACCAAAAGAATAACAAATAAACATTTAATTATAGGTTTTAGGTCTCAAAAAGTTTAAAGTTTACAACTTTTTTTATGATTTTCTTGCTTTAACTTTTAAAGTTAACTAAATACTGATCTGACATAGTTTGGATATTTGTCCCCTTCAAATCTCATTTTGAAATTTGATCCCCAATGTCAGAAATGGGGCCTAGGGGGAGGTATTTGGGTCACTGGGGTGGATCTCTCAGGAATGGCCTGATGCCATCCTTGTGGTAATCAGTGGTTCTCCCTCTATTAGTTTCCAAGAGAGCTGATTATTGAAAAACAGCCTGGCACCTCCTTCCTCTGCTTTCTCTCACACATGTGATCTGGCACCATGCTTCTTGTATAGCTTACAGACCTACAAGCTAAATTAAGCTCTTTTTATACTTTTTGACAAGGTCTTACTCTGTTGCCCAGGCTGGAGTGCAGTGGCGTGGTCATAGCTCACTGTAACCTCAAACTCCTCTCCTTAAACAATTCTCCCACCTCAGCCTCCCAAGTAGCTATGACTATAGGTGTGTGCCACCAAGCCTGGCACATTTTTTGATTTTTTGTACAGATGGGGTCTCGAACTCCTAGCCTTAAGGGATCCTCCTACCTTTGCCTCCCAAAGTGCTAGGATTACAAGTGAGAGCCACTGCACCTGTCCAAACTATTTTTTTTTTTAATAAATTACCCACCCTCAGGTTTTCTTTTATAGCAACACAAATAGACTAAGACACAGTCCAATCGCATCAGCTAGAAGGATTCACCTTCAACAAAAGGGCAGGTAAAAAGTGATGGTCTTAAATATCAGACTAAAAGTTGGGAATCTAAGTAATACTAGAATACTGAGTTTTTGTATATACCTGAGCAGGAGTATGGCATGATTTAATTGATGTTTTGAAGGGGTCATCTGGAAGTGCAGCTTGAATTATTTTAGAGGGAATGGAGATTATAAAAGAGATGAACAGAATGGGAGAACTCACTTGGATAATTATCAATTGCTGTATAAATGTAAAAGGTGGGTTAGTTACTATTTAGGCTTAAGGTTTTGTTGGCCTTAGATACAATCTCTAAGATTATATCCATTCATTCAACAAACACCCACTGAGCACCTACTATACACTATTGATATAGCAGTGAACAAACAGACATAGCCCCTGCATTCTCAGAGCTATCTACCATGCTACCAAAGTAACATATTCAGGATACTATAAGAACATACAATAATAAATCTAGATTATTTTTTACAAGAGGGTAGCACTCAGATGTTTAAACCCAAGACCAGGCATCCTCAAATCATGGCCCAAGGGACACATGCGGCCTCCAAGGACATTTATCCAGCCCATCAGGTGTTTTTGCCACTGCTGCCTATCCTGCTTAGCAGCAGACTTGTCCTGGGCCCACAGTGCGCATGTGTGGAATGTGCGCTGCACTCTCCAATGGCCCTCCAACGGTCTGAGGGACAGTGAACTGGCCCCCTGTTTAAAAAGTTTGAGGACCCCTGCTCAAGACAATGAAAATGAGGATCTTGAATAGCATTAGTATACTTTTCATTAACTCACTTGGCCACCACAACAACCTAGTAACAGTGATATTATATCTAGTCGACTCACTGACTGACTCAATGTTATTCTAACACTGTAAAATATCTGCTCAGTGCCTACATCTTGGGCTTTGCTCTAGGAGTAGGACCTAAAGCCAGAACAAGACAGATCAGGTCCTTGCCTTGACAGAGTTTGAATACACCACCTTCATTCCTACCTGTACTTCTGAAAGACAAATACATTCCCCCTCAGATGGGGATTCATCCTATTTTTTATCTTGTAGTAATTATAACTTCCCTGAGTTACAGATTAGTGAATGTTATACCTAAAGACTTCATACATTGAGCATAAAACACTTTTCAGTAGTGTTTGTTGGACAGTAGATGCTCAATAAATGTTAACTTCTGTTAGAACTATGTTATTATTACAATGCTAAATATCATGTCCTTTCTGGTACACTGGATGGCATCTCTTGGATTAAATTCCATAAGGACTTATTGCAAATCTATCATGGGATTGATATACTGCTTCATAGGAATTACGAGATCAGTGAGGAAAACCTCTTTATTATCTAAGTCCACCCTCAATATTTAGGAGCTGTGTAAATTTGGACAAGCATCAACCTCTATAAACTACAGTTTCCTCATACTGAGAAATCAAATAATACCTATTTCATTCAACTGTTGGCCCAAAATGTCAATAAATGTAGGCCATAAGTCATAATTATTATTACTCTGAGAAACAGACATGAGTTAATTTACAGTTTATGTGAAAGACTGAAGAATAAGAACTATTTTCTATCAAATTAAGAAATAACAGGCATATCACTGAAAAAAAAATTAGGAAAATTGCGTAGTTTTCTCAAGTTAATTTATTTTAATTTTAAAACTATATGATTATTCCTCCATATTAAGATTTGATGGACATAGAGAAAAAACTAGGCAGAGAGAATGTTAACTAGCAACTCTTGTAAAATCACAAATTACTCAAAGCAGAGTACCTATCGCTTAGAATTTGGACATGTATGAGAGAGAAGGTGGATTCTTTTCTCAGAGCAGAGATTCAGCTGCGAAATAGGTTGACGTTATGGAGAGAAGATATCTATTAGATAATTTTATGGTCTCTTTAAATATACACATATGTATGTGTCTACGTAAGTGGAATTCTTAGTTCTTTCAAGCAGATGTACGAGGATAATCGTTAGTAGCATGATTAAAGCATTTCTAAAACGTGTGACAAATTATTGTAGGGTTGGGTCTTGATTTTTTCCCATGAAACTGCTGGTCTTTTAGGGACCATATCCATGAGACACATCTGATTCTAATGCTTGAGACTGAGAAGTTGGAAAAACTTTGTAAGAAGGCAAAGTAGCGTCCCCAGAGTCTCACAGCGTCCACTATGAGCTTCCAAAGCTAGGGCCTCCTTCTGGTGACTTGCGCCAAGCGACAGAAAAGGAGTCTCTCTTCTGGATACAGAAGGGGGTTTTGTCAACTTGTAGGTGCTCTGAGTCCTTCAAAAAAATTATTCTGGCCGATGTTTCTACATCGGCTTAGGCGGTGGTTCCCTTTTCCTTTCCGAGACGGAGAGCCTCTCTTCCTTTCCCAAGATGGCGGGTCCATGATCCTCTGGAGGCGGCCCCCGTAGAGCGTCTCCGGAGAAGGGGGTTGCTAAAAACCCAGTTCTTTCCTAGGGCAGCGGTCACCATTCAGAACCGAGGAGTGGCCGTTCAGGATACTCCCGCGATCGGGAACCTTAAGCAAGATGGTGGCCGCGGGGCTGGGCCGGCATCACCCTACTCTACCAAGATGGCGGCGGGCGGCTTCCGGCACGCGCTTCCCCAATCGCCTTCAAGATGTCAGAGCCCGGGCGGCCGCCGTCAGAGTCGGAGCGCTGCGGGAGGAGAGAGAGTGGCTGCTGCCGAGCCTCGGGGCAGGGACGAGGTGGAGCTGCGGCAACCCCCGCCTCTGTCAGGAGCTGGCTAGCGCTGTCACCTGTGGGGGCGCAAAAGTTACGTCCCCAAACCCTAAAGCAGCACGGCACAACCTTACCCCGAGTCACAAAAATCATAATATGTGCCACACAAGGTAGGAGGCTCGGTCCCGGGGCTGCCCAAGCCTTCCGGACGCGGCGAGCTGGGGAAGGGGGCTGGGACGGGGGCATCCCGCGCGGTCACCCCTCGCCCCACTCCCCTCTCCTGTCTTTGGGGACAGGCCACGTGTTTCCCTCGGACCGAGGGGGGGGGCGCGAAACAGAAACAGCTGGAGGGAGTTTAACGCTGACGTTTTACAGCTGCGTGCGTTTTGCCTTATTTGAGGGGGCAGGGGTCCTGCGGACGCGACAGGGTGAGCGACGCTTGGAGTCCAGGGCGGCAAATGTCAAGATTCGGGGGACGGCGCCTCACCGGGAACTTGGACGCGGGCCTCGGAGGGGGTGGAAGGAGAGGTCAGGGGTTTGGTACTGGGAGGAGGACACACTTCGCCAGCAACTTACTATTTCTCTCGCAACTTGCTTTTAGGCCTGCCCCCCCCTGCTTGGTTAATCATAATAAAAAAGTGCAAAGAAATCCAGCTCGCCGGAGGTTTTGCATTTGGCGTGCAACTTCCTTCGAGTGTGAGCGCGCGGGGAGGGAGCGAAGGAGGGGTGGGGGTTGAACTTGGCAGGCGGCGCCTCCTGCCGCCGCCGCCGCCGCCTCCCAGACTCGGGGAAGAGGGCGGGGGACGGCCGCGGCGCGGGGGAGGGTGCGTTCTGCTTTGCAACTTCTCTCCGGGTTCGAGAGCGCGGCGGCGGCGGCTGCAGACCGGGCGGCGCAGACGATGCGGGGGCGGGGGACGTGCCCGCACGCGACTGCCCCCGGGCCCAGAGTACGTATGCGCTGACCCCCGCCTCTCCCCTCCCCTCCTGAAAGCCTCCCCAGAGGGCGTGCCTGGCCGCCCGGCCCCCAGCGCTGCCGAGACGCTGCGGCACAGTCTCCTTGCAACCCTGTAGCCCCTCTCGAAGTGACACTCTTCGCGCAACTCGGGCCCGGGGCGGCGGCGCGGACCACCCCGCAGCCCAGCTGCGGGCCGCGCCCCGGCTCTCCCAGCCCGCCCGCTGTCACCCGGAGCTCGCCGCCGCGGGAGAGGCGAGCTCCAAAGTGGGACCTGAGCCGCGGAGCTGGGCGGGGGCGGGAAGGAGCTGCCAGAAGAGAAACTAGAGAAACTCGGTTTCCCTTCTCAAACCGCCCCAAAGAGACCAGGCTGGCCCCCGCCTCCGCCTCACTTTCTTTCTCCCGGGGTGGGGGCCGAGGAGAAGCCCCGCGGGCGGCGGTGCCCGGGGCCGCGGGCGAGCGGGCGCCGTCGGGCCCCGGTGGCGGGCCCGCGCGGAGGGCGTGAGGGCGGGGGCTGCGGGCGCCCCTGCAGTTGCCGAGCGTCGCCAACAGGTTGCACCGTTCCCCGCGGCCGCGGCGCGGGCCCTCGGGCGGGGAGCGGCCGGGGGCGGAGTGGGAGCGCGTGTGAGCCAGTGTGTGCGCGCCGTGGCGCCGCCTCCGCCCGCCCCCCGCTCGGTCCCGCTCGCTCGCCCAGGCCGGGCGGCCCTTTCCCGTGTCCGTGCTCCCTCCCCTCCGCCGCCGCCTCCTCCATTTTGCGAGCTCGTGTCTGTGACTGGAGCCCGAGTCGAGTCACCACCGCCCGCCCGTCGGGGACGGATTCAGTGGGTGGAAGGAGACGCGGCAGCCGGAGCAGCGGGGCGCCGGGACGGGGGACGCGCGCCCGGGAGCCCGGACCCGCGGAGACGAGCGCGGGGCGGAGGGCCGGCTTGTCAGTGGGGAAATGGGAGACTTTCTTCAGTAGGGGCGCTCCCCTCCCCCCATGGAGAAGGGGGCGGCTGTTTACTTCCTTTTTTTTAGAGAAAATTATTTCTCTTCTGCTCCTCCTGCGTTCACACGCTAAGTTGTTTATCTCGGCTGCGGCGGGCGCTGCGGACGGCGGCGGGTGAGCGGCGCCGCTGCCCGAGGTAAGAGGCGGGAGGGTGGGGGCCGCGGGGCCGCGGGCGGCGGGGGCCGGGTCGGGGCCGCTGCGGGCGCCGGCAAACTTTTATTAGCCGCGGGCAGTGGGGGCTGGGGGCTGGCGAGGGCCGGGCGGTGGTGACGAAAGGGCAGCGCGCGGGTGACAGCGCTGGCCTCTTCCTCTCGCTCTGCCGCCGCCGCCGTCACCCGGCCGAGCCGAGGGGCGGGAACCCGAGCCCGGGCTGCCAGGGGAGCCAGGTCGGGCTGCTGAGGCTTTCAGGCTCCCCATTCCCCGGCGGGAACCCTGGTCTGTTTTTTTTCTCCCTCCACGTCCCCCTTTCTGTTCCCTGTAAGGGGGACAGTCCCGACACCCATTTCTGTGGTGAACGCTCAGCCGCGTCTGAATTCTCCTCGCCCAGGTCTTTCCACTCCGCCCCAGAGCGCCCGAGCGCGGCGGGGCTGCTGTCGAGGCTCCCGCGCGCCTCGTTGGTGGCGGGCGTGCGGGGCGCGGGAGCGAGTCACACGCGGGGTGACAGCCTGCGCCCCGGAGACTTCGGCCGGGGCTGGCGTTATCTGGCAGAAGTGGGCGTGTCGGAGGGGGAACTCAACAGGTCTGGACACATTTCTCTCCCAACCTCGCACTTTTTTTTTTTCTGCCACCCCCCCCGCCCCGCCCCGGCCACCCCCCAAGGGCTTGTTCTTTAGCGTTTGACATCTTCTCGAGCCTGGCGTTTCTCAGTGGCCCCTTTGAGAAGAAGACCCTCACGAGCCGTCGTGGTTTCGTGCTGCGATTTTTAACAAGCGCTGGGTTGGTGGTTGGGGTTGCAGACTCGGTCACTGCGGCGCTGTGATACTGCTTAGGACCCCTCGGCGGCCCCTCAGAGTGGCAGGGTTATTCGCTAAATGCTGGGGGGGATGATGTAGCTTGAGGGAGCGTTTCGTTTAGGCAAGTCTTGTTTTGGTTTCGGGTTTGAAGGCAGCTGTCAGAAAAGCGGCGTGGAAATTCATTAGTCCCCATTTGATACCCTGTGTTTAGAGATCGCTATCAGGTAAACAGGGCGGCCGGAGAGTGGGTAGATAAAGCACTTTACCCTCGAGATTGGTAGTGACAGATCCCCACCCCTCTTTCCACCTTCGTTATATTCCCCTTTGAGTCTCGAGGGCCAGTGACTTTTATGTTTCTCAGCGTCTTCGTATAGGAAAAGTTTCCTTTTATTGGTCGGGATTTGTCTATAATGTCCCAAATGTGCTGATCAAAATCTTTGCCCTTCTCATAAAACATCCTGATTATTAACAATATTCTAGCAACCTAATCCTCTTGAGCATAGGCTCAGAAATGGGCCACGTGAAGGTTTTAGAATGCAGAGAAAATTATTCTGAGCGTTTTACTGGATACTGTTTTGTTTTGGTTTATGTGAATGTGATTTTACAGTTCTGGGTTTTTGTTTTTCGGAGCTGAGGTATTTGGAAAGGAAAGATCTTAACTTGTAAGTATATAATAGTATTTTATATTGAGGGTCTCAAGCAATTTAAATAAATGCAGCTTAGTCTAGATGTTATTGTGAATTATAAGGATCAGACAGCGATATCGAAGGTATGTTTAAATAACGTAAAATTGTAGTGAGAAGTTACACGTTCTGTTCTACATTTTTAAATCTAAATTTTGGTTGTCCTGTATACGATGTATCATATATCCAAAATTTGGAGCTAGGCACTATTAGGCGTATCCAAGTCAGAAATATGGGTTAAAATAAGGAGCCTTTTCCCAGCCTATTAGAAGATAAGCAGATCAGCATTGTTTATTTTTCAAATAAAATGTGCATGGTTCATCAGTAGGTTGTACTTTAAAGGGCTGGATGTATGACTAGCTGGTAGGAGGGGAATTGGGGAATAATTGGGGATTGAAAATTCTAGTATAGTATTTATCAAATGTTAAATGTATTGGTTCTTAGAAAAGCAAACAGCCTCAATTGAAAAGAGGTAGGAATTTTAATGACCACACTTTTTAAAAAATTAAATACTTTGACATCAACTTGAACCTTTGGAATAATCAGATGTAATGAATTATAATGTCTGTGATTAACAAAGCTACACCTTCAGTGAGTGGCAGGATGAATAGCCATGCTTAGTTGGGAACAATTTTGTCCTCAGCTGTGCAAATGGACAGCATTGTACTTTTAAATGTGGCACACTGAATGGGAGCAGGGGACATGGCTTTTTATTCTGGAAGATCGAAACTAGTCTTCCCGTAACAAAGAATTTGATTTTGGAGTTAACTAAAAGGTTCATTTAACAGGCTGTCTCTTACTAATCGGATCACAGAGATAATGTGACTTTAGAGCTTATTATGTCCCCCCCCTTTTTTTTTGTAGCTGATATTAACTTATGGACTGCAAAGAATCATTAACTCCTCCCAGTAGAGAAGAAATCCCCAGCAGCCTGCTTAGTCAGGAGAGGGGAAATGTGATGGATATCTATAAAACCCTAAGGGGAGGAGCTACTGTGAAGGTTTCTGCGTCTTCACCCTCACTGGCTGTTGCTTCTCAGTCTGACTCTAAGCAGCAAAGACTTTTGGTTGATTTTCCAAAAGGCTCAGTAAGCAATGTGCAGCAGCCAGATCTGTCTAAAGCAGTTTCACTCTCAATGGGACTGTATATGGGAGAGCCAGAAACAAAAGTGATGGGGAATGACCTGGGATTCCCACAGCAGGGCCAAGTCAGCCTTTCCTCTGGGGAAACAGACTTTCGGCTTCTGGAAGAAAGCATCGCAAACCTTAATAGGTCGACCAGCCTTGCAGAGAACCCTAAGAGTTCAGCATCTGCTGCTGCTTCTGCTGCCTCCACAGAGAAGGAGTTTCCAAAAACTCTCTCTGATCCGTCTTCAGAGCAGCAAAATTTGAAGGGCCAGACTGGTACCAATGGTGGCAATGTGAAGTTATATACCACAGACCAAAGCACTTTGGACATTTTGCAGGATTTGGAGTTTTCTTCTGAGTCCCCAGGTAAAGAGACGAGTGACAGTCCATGGAGATCAGAACTGTTAATGGATGAAAACTGTTTGCTTTCTCCTTTGGAAGGAGAGGATCCATTCCTTTTGGAAGGAAACTCGAATGAGGACTGTAAGCCTCTCATTTTACCGGACACTAAACCTAAAATTAAGGATAATGGAGATACGATCTTATCAGGCCCCAACAGTGTACCACTGCCCCAAGTGAAAACAGAAAAAGAAGATTTCATCGAACTCTGCACCCCTGGGGTAATTAAGCAAGAGAAACTAGGCCCAGTTTACTGTCAGGCCAACTTTTCTGGAGCAAACATTGGTAAAATGTCTGCCATTTCTGTTCATGGTGTGAGCACCTCTGGAGGACAGATGTACCACTATGACATGAATACAGCCTCCCTTTCGCAACAGCAGGATCAGAAGCCTATTTTTAATGTCATTCCACCCATTCCTGTTGGTTCAGAAAATTGGAATAGGTGCCAAGGATCTGCAGATGACAACTTGACTTCCTTGGGGACTTTGAACTTCCCTGGTCGATCGGTTTTTTCTAATGGCTATTCAAGGTAAGAGTAATGCCTTTCTATTTCTTAAGCATGGTACATCATCTAAGATGGGTTAATGGATTTAAACATTTATTTGCATGTGTTCTCCAAAGATTCACGTGCTTTTTCATATGAACAAGTTTAAGTGGTTTTTGAAAGTAGGCATTGTAGACAACTTAAGTAATTTATATGTAATCACTTGAAGTTTTTCCCATAAGGAGGGGTATTCGGTATCTCATTGGCCAGTGGTGAAGATTTCATTTAAAAACTGTAAAATAGTATTGCTCACTAACATATCTTAAGTAAAAATTGTATACATTCAAGCGAGTACAATGTCTGATGATATGTTTTTGTGTACATTTAGCTGTTTAGAATATGCTCTTACATTATAATAAAAAATACCCTTAATTACATAATCAAAAATCGTGCTGCTATATATGTACATCTGTGAAGTGCTAGCTTGAGATTAAAGGGTTAAAAATTAGAAGTACTAACAATGAGCCCTATTCTTCAAACCGAACCTTCTGCTGAAGAATTTGAGTTTGGGGATTGCTAAAGCAATGCAGTGAACAGTGCACCAGACCATAGTGTTAGACATAGGTTTTGCTCACAGGGTTCCCAACCTAAGGAAAACAAGTTGTGTCTGCTGATCATTGTCTTTAAGAAAGGAATTAGTGGCAACATGGTGCAAAATAAAATTTTACTTTCAAATGCTGCTCCAAGTTCTAACATACATAACTGATGGCCGAAATTGTTAAGATTCAGTGTTAGTTATTTGGTTTCTAATTTTTATTCAGTTGTTTATAAGTATACTGACATTTCTGTCTGATCTCATAAAGGTCTGTTAAAATGGAATTATCAGAAAAAATTCTAAATTTAGATATCTGTGTTGGTAGAGGTTAAGTTCTCTTCCCTATACACCTATCAGAAATTCAGAAACATGCTAGACTATATGTCCTTTTGAGTTGTGAAGGAAAATATAAAAATGTGAATTGTAGTGAATGATAGGAAATTAATCAGTGTGAGTTTTTTTGAAAAATAAAATCACATAGTGATTTATTTGTATGTAACCATTTCAAGTGTTTTAAATGTTAGTGATATTTGTCATTCCCATTAACTAGTCATTGAGATTTAACTCTCTTTAAAATCCTTTCTCCTATGAAAAGTATCTTAATACTGAGGTGTTTCTTTTCTTTCCCATTTGCATAGGAAGCTTTTCTTGCTAGGGAAAAAATTTAGACGCTGATTTAGGCTGTGTTCTATCCTTCTAAAAGGCTTAGTTGCTATCAAAAGAAAAAACAACTTGGTTATTATGTGTCCTAATGCAAACTTCCTCCTAATCTATGATTTTAATAATAATTATCTTTATTTAGAATACAACATTTTATTATTGTCTTTCTGAACTGAAGGGTTAAAATGTTTTCAATAAGGAGACTTGAGATGTTTCTTATTGCATAAGCTGTTGTGTTTTCAATATTAAAAGACAGTGTTTAAAATTTTTCAGTCTCAAATTTTTGGCAATGGAATTTATGTGCTTTGTTTTCTTAAAAGAGTTAAGTATAGTTGATTTGATTAAGCTATCTGTAGGAAACTATTAAGTTGATTTATAAAACATGTAATTATACAAAGAAAGATAATACATTTTAGGAAACTCTTGGGGATTATTAATGCATTTTATCCTGATAGTCATCATGGTATTGTTTTCATTTTCCTTTCTATAAAAAAAAATGGCATGGAACAAAACTTATTTTCTATTCACTATGAACTTTCATTAAGCCCTATAAAATCTGGGATATGGAGTATGTTGTAGATGAACATAGTTACCCTTAAATCATTAAAGATAACTTTAATACTTTTGTAATACTTTATTACATGATGTGTCTTCCCATATTTTTAGTTTGAGCCTCATAACAACCTTATGGAGGTAGGCAAGGCGATGACGTGGTTCATTAGAAGTTCTTTAATATCCAATGAAATTATTTTTATGCCAATGTGTGATTTGGAATTATAATCAGTAGTCCTGTACTAACAAAAAAGTGTAATACCTTACACAGTATCATTTGTTAATGTTTGAAAATTTTATACCTTAAGCCATTAACTTAGCACTGGGAACTATGATTACCCAGAACAAAGCTTCATCCAAATAAATTGAAACAATGTTTCTTTATAAACCATCATTGAATTAGTCTATTGTTTCCAAACAACAGCCTTGATATAACTAAAACTGTTGCCTTCTCTTCTCTATATGTTATATGACTGTAGCCAAATAGAAGCTATGATCAATGACCCTGAGTGATCAGCAAATAAATTAACACGTTGAGACCACAACTTGATTGAACACTGACTTTATGACTTTAGATATAAAAATATTAAATGCCACTAATAACTTCAGTTGAATTCCTTTTAAATTAAAAAAATAGTATAAATTGTAATTTGACTTTTTAAAATGCAACCTAGAATTTCTTTTTATCAGAATGGTTTTTTTAATAAAAAAAAACCACTTTATTCTCTGGGTTCGAGGGGAGGCAGTTCCTTCAGATGTGTCCATGCACCACCAACCTCGAGTTACCACGTTAAATTGTAAAATTGTGAATATCGTGATTGAGGACAGTAAAGCATTTTCTTTTTAGGGTTTAAGTTCATTGATAGTAAAACAACAGAAACATTACTTAAATCCATTCTTTAAGTAAAATGAAGTAGCCATTCTAACTTTATGCTTTTTTTAAATACTGAAAGTCAATAAGTTTAGCATAAACTTATAATGTTGATGAAGGCATAGTTCTGCATAATTTGATCTTCAACATTGTTTTACTTCAGCATTAATGTTGAAACTGCTGAAAAGTAGAGAAAAGGAAATGGTTTTAGGTGAAATTAGAGCTTTTATTGAGATTATGTTGAAATTTTAGTGTTAAAAAGTCGTCCGTTTCCAGAAGCGTGTGATTTCTGGACAGAAAGTGATGCAGGATGAATTTGAACTTGTGAATTCAGTCTTAGGTAGAGTTTAGGGCTCTGATGATTGGCATTTAATGAAACTACTAAAATGTATGTAGGTTTTAACATCTTTCATTAATCACATTTGTGTCTAATTTTATAAATGAAATTGAAGACCTACACAAACACAGGGTGAGGCAAATTTAGTCCCTTTCTTATTTTTCTTATTAACATTACGTTGAATATTTCCTCAGAAAAAGGAAACATAAAGAAGAGATTTTTGTTTTGAGGATGATTTACCCTTCCCCCTTTTTAATGGATACTTTCTTTACTTCCTACCTTTTTTTTCCTTTCCTTTTAAAGGTTCTGACAATGGATGTTTCAATGTCTTTTTTTTTAATTTTTATTATTTTCATTTTTTTATTTCAGCATATTATGGGGGTACAGATGTTAAAGTTATGTATATTGCCCATGCCCCCCTCCCCTCGAGTCAGAGTCAATGTCCTTTAAGCTTAATATTTCTGATTTTATCCACACAACTCATTTTTGAATGTTAAAGGAGATTGGGGCAATATATTTATTTACTTACTTTTAGCTTTCTGGTAAGACTCTTTTTAAAAATCTATACCTTGTTATGGTTATATGATTAGTAAAAGAAACTTTTAAAACATACTGTGTGTTCAGGTGTGTCAATTTAGTGTGGAATGACTAACAGAAATGTGTGACTAGCGTGTGGTCAGATTTTATTGAAATTACTTCTTTATGATGTTTCTTTGGCTATTCCCCTTATGTTTTTATAATGGGTAACAATTTATATTCATAATGCTGTTTCGGTTTTGTCTGTGTTTTAGCTATTTTAGTTTGACCACTTTCAATGTATTATTGAATGCTAATATATTTTATGACTCTTTCTGAAATATACCTTGCATAAAATATAGGTTAAATGCAAATTGTATTAATAGTGAAATTAGTATGTGGGTAGAGATCACTTTAGGGACCTTTTGAGATGCTAGTAAAGGAGAGATTGGATCAAAAGGGTTTATTTTAGTTTGTGCCTAATGTGAAAGACAGAGCATCTGCGTTAATTGGTTAGTTACATAAGTCTTAATCTGCTCTGGCCTGCAGATGATTGAAATAGCCTCGTTATGTTAGGAAATCTTAATTTACATTAAGTTTAGAATAGGTCTAGGGCATAAGTATTAAAACATATTTTTACTTTAAGGATTACACCTAATTTTAACTTGCAGTGAGTTCTCATTATGTACCACATTTATGTGAACAAATTAAATAGGCAAAATAGGTTTGTGCCAAATACAACGTTTACCCTTCTGAGGACATCCTGGTAACATTTTCATCAAGAGTAATTGTGTAATGTAGTATTTACAGGTATTTGCTAAATTAATGGGCACTTGCTTCCATTATTTCTGAGTCATGGAAAATATATATTGGTGAATCCTGTTGCATAAAGAGCTTTCAAGAAATATTTTGTTAAATTAAGCTATAACTGAAAAAAAAATCAATTATTGACCTTTACAGAAGGGGTTTAAAAGCCCATGCCCTCCTTATTTCTGTAGCTTCAGAAAGCCTACTACTCTCGTTTTCTTCTGGCATATTCTACTTGGGTTTTGTATTTTTCAAGTAAGTAAAAATATTCTTATGGAGAGCTCCCATTTTAAAAAAGAAAAGATTCATTGAGTGTTCTCTTTGAATTGTGTGTGATCATTTCCATGCTAAACTGGATTAAAGTGTGACTTATGATGATGATTTGTAAAAAAAAATTTTACATATTAAGAAAAATACAGTTTTATAGCTGTTCTAAATTAGTTGCTGACAGTGGTGGTAACCCCCAAACACCTAATTTCGACCCATTGATTTCTTTATTCCTCAAAACTGTCTCTAAATAGAGGATTTCCAGTGGTAGTCTGTGAATTAATGGAGGAGAGGGGGAAGAAAGAGAAGCACCAAAGGTGTGGAATGGTGGAGATAAATTTTAGAAATATCAAGAAATTTCTGAAAATCAACAATTTGGATCAATTGTCATGAATTTAGAGGTTTTAGAAGAGAGATTTAGGGGACTACGTTTGTGTACA